CTTCCTCCTCTGACCCCTCCCCAGCCACCTCCTCCTCTGCCCCCGTTGTCCCCTCCTCTTCTCACGCTTGGCCTTCGTACTGCCCTGTTTCGTTCTAGTTGTTAGAAACAGCAGGAAGTTTAGAAACAAGAAAGAGAGGGTTGCACTAGCAAGCAGTTGAGTACATATAGCAAACCCTAGATTGGGCTGTACTCACTATTGAGTACCCCACTGCAGGCTAGACAAACATAACATTCTGACACACCCCCATAGTCAAAGTGGGGTATGATCAGCACAACAGGCAAAGCAAAGCAAGCTCAGGGTGGATCACAATGTCACCACACATTCTGAGCACAAGTTCAAGAAGCAACAGTTTAAAGTTCACAAATGTAAGCAAAGCTAGAGGCTATCGCAGAGGGCAAGTGTGGAGGAGGAGGGACTATGAGAGGAGAGGAGGTAGTGGGCGGCAACTGAAGCTGCTGGCACACGGCGCAACTGGAGCAACTGGCACACGGGCAACTGGAGCAACTGGCACATTGGCAACTGGAGCAACTGGCACACGGGCTACTGGAGTAACTGGCTCCGCGGCTAACTCTGAGCGGCAGGAGCAACGGACTCACGGGCGACTGGAGCAACTGGCTCACGGGCGACTGGCGCAACGGGCTCACGGGCGACTGGCGCAACGGTCTTACGGGCGACTGGAGCTGCGGGCTTCACGGCGGCCACCCCCCTTCAACCTCCCCAAACTATCCCACCCCCCTTTCACACACCCCTTGCTGCACCCTAGGTTCACTCACACCCCACCCCCTAGCACCACTCCTTTGGCTCCCACACATCCACCCCCCTCAGCGGCAGCTGCAGCAGTGGGAGACAGAGGAGGAGGAGGAGCAGGGGAGTCCACACACCCGCCACCCCCTACTCGCCACCCCCAAACCCTAACACAGGGCAGGGCGGGATGGCGGGTAGGGAGGTTACGAGGGGGGGGGGGGGGGGGGGGGGGGGTTACGGGGGCCGACGCGCGGCCTCCCAGGGCGCCAGAACAGGCGGAAGAAGGGGCGACGCGCGGCCCCCCAGGCCCCCCTCCAGGTCGCCATGAAAGGCGACGGGAAAGGGGGGGGGGGGGGGGGGGGGGGGGGGGGGGGGGGGGGCAGTGCGCAGGCCCCCGGTGCGCCGCGACAGGCATGAGGGGGGGGCGGGGCCGGGGCAGGGTCGGGGCATGGCCGGGGCAGGGCCGCGACAGGGCCGGGGCAGGGCCGCGACGGGGGGCCGCGACGGGGGGGCCGCGACGGGGGGGCCGCGACGGGGGGGGGCGCGACGGGGGGCCGCGACGGGGGGCCGCGACGAGGGGGGCCGCGACGGGGGCCTGCGACAGGGGGCCGCGACGGGGGGGGGGGGGGGGGGGGGGGGGCGCGACGGTGCGGCAGCAGGACGGGGCCGCGACAGGGCCGCGACGGGCGACGGGGCAGGTCCGGGGCGAGGCCGGGGCGAGGCCGGGGCGAGGCCGGGGCGAGGCCGGGGCGAGGCCGCGAAGGGTCGCGACAGGCGACGAGGCAGGGCCGGGGCGGGGCCGCGACTGGGGCCGCGACAGGGCGGCAGCAGGCGACGGGGCAGGGCCGGAGCAGGGCCGCGACGGGGCCGCGACGGGGCCGCGACGGGGGCCACGAAGGGGGCGACGGGCAGCAAACCGCCGCGCGCCCCTAGCGCGCGGCGGGAAGAAAAAAGGGCCGCGCGCCAAGATAGTGCGCGCCCGAGGCGCGCGATAGGCAGGACAGCAGCAGCGGAAGCATTGGTGGGCCCATCCACAGGATCGACCCGTGAGGGTCGACCTGCTCTGATTCCATTTTAGAAACAGCAGGAAGTTTAGAAACAAGAAAGAGAGGGTTGCACTAGCAAGCAGTTGAGTACATATAGCAAACCCTAGATTGGGCTGTACTCACTATTGAGTACCCCACTGCAGGCTAGACAAACATAACATTCTGACACTAGTCTGCCTCGTTCGTCTCCTTCTGTACTTCCTTCTCCTCCTGAGTCAGCTCTCACTGCTTCCCTCTCTACTCCTGTCACGGACTACTACCGGACGTAGCGTCCTATTCTCTCTCGTGTTCTTGCCTCTCTTGTTACTGACCCACGTGCTTCTCTGTCCTCTGTCTCCGCTCTTACTGCCGCAGTCACGGAGTTTGCCTCTACCGGCCTTGACTACGCCACCAGTCTTGTGGCTGCTCCTCCTACCAGTCCTCTGGCCGTCGGGGGTGAGTCTGCCCTTGGCTGTGACGCCCTAGAGGACAGGCAATTTGAGCTGGAGTTCCTGGCAGCCGCTTCCCCTCATCTCTGTGCCATGCTGCTCGCCCCTGAGGGAGGCCCCGACGCCCTTGACATACCGACTCCTCGCACTTACGTTGAGGCAGTATCAGGGCCTTGGACCTCTCAGTGGAGAGCTGCCATGGACTCAGAGATGGCCTCCTACAGATCCACAGGCACCTACGTCAACAAGGTTCCCCCCCTTGGGGCGAACGTAGTCGATGGCATGTGGAACTTCAGGGTGAAGCGGCCACCGGGATCTCCACCGGTCTTTCAAGGCGCGCTATGTGGCCAGAGGTTTCAGTCAGCGCGAGGGATTTGACTTCTTTCAGACCTTCGCGCCTACCCCGAAGATGACCACTCTTCGGGTGTTGCTGCACGTAGCAGCACAGAGAGACTACGAGTTACACTCTCCTGACTTCTCCACTGCTTTCCTTCAGGGTAGCCTACACGAGGAGGTTTGGTTACGTCTTCCCTCTGCCTTCACTGGCACTTTCCCTCCTGGGACCCAGTAGAGGCTTAGGCGACCAGTCTACGGTCTCCGTCAGGCTCCTCGTGAGTCGACACCCTTCGCTCTACCCTTTCTGGCCTTGGTTTCTAGCCTTCTTCTGCCGACCCTTCGCTGTTCGTTCGTCGTGGCTCCACACCGTTCTTTGTACTGATCTACGTCGACGACCTGGTTTTCGCCTCTGCTGATAGGGTTGCTTTGGCTGACATGAAGCTCGAACTGCAGAAGAGACACATTTGCACTGACCTTGGTGAGCTGCGCCACTACCTTGGCCTGCAGATCACCAGGGACAAAGCTGCTCGCACCATTATACTCTCACAGTCACGCATGGTGCAGCAGGTCCTTCAGCGGTTCGAGCTTCAGCACTCTACTGTACAGCACACACCTCTTGCCGTTGACCACAGACTCACTGGACCCTTTCCTGGCGAGCCGTTCGAGCCTAGTGGTCCTTACGCAGAGCTTGTGGGCTGCCTCATGTACCTGATGACTTGTACTCGCCCGGACCTCGCCTTCCCTCTCAGCATCCTTGCTCGCTTTGTTGCGCCAGGGAGACACCGTCCAGTTCACTGGACAGCTGCTGTGAGGGTGGCGAAGTACCTAACGACGACATCAGGCGTGGAGCTGGTTCTTGGAGGGAGACAGGACGTCGTGCTCACTGGTCATTGTGACTCTTCTTACGCTGACGACGCCGAGACGCACAGGTCTACTCAGGGGTACTGTTTCAGCCTGGGCTCTGGAGCTGTTTCGTGGAGGTCCACACGTTCCTCCTCGGTCTCGACCTATACTGCTGAGGCCGAGATCTACGCTGGAGCTATGGCTGCACAGGAGCTGCGCTGGCTGACGTTCTTGCTCACTGACCTTGGTGAGCGGCCGAGCTCTGCGCCGACCTTGTTCACTGATAACAAGGCGACGATTCTCCTCTGTCGAGAGCCGCGAATGGAGAGCAGAGTGAAGCACATTAACGTCAGGTACTTTCTTATGCGAGAGTTGCAGAGGCGTGGACAGGCTCGCTTCGACTTTGTTGAGTCTGAGGCCAACACTGCAGACATCTTCACGAAGGCCCTATCGCCTTGTGACCACCAGAGGTGTTGTGTACAGTTAGATCTCGTTGAGACAGGTTCTCGCCTTGCATAGTCTTGAGTTCTCTCCTTGCTTTGTTTGTACACTTTACATATACCTCTGTGAACTCTTGAACTAGCCTTGTGGCTCTTTTGCTTGTGCTCGGAGTGTGTGGTGACGTTGTGATCCACCCTGAGCTTTGTTTCTTCGTGACTGGTCTTGTGACCGTACACTTTTGGTTTTGCTTGACACCCCTCACTTAGACTATGGGGGTGTCTCAAATGTTGTAGTCTTAGTGATGTGTATTATAGGGGGTACAACTGTTAGGGTTAGGTTTATGTACCCCAACCAACTTTTGTCAAACCAACACTTTCATTCTTGACAGTACCGTAGTAAGCAGGGTGGTTTTCAAGTAAAAAAATGCCAGACAAAAGCCAATAGCTGTTACGGCACCTCCCTTCCGATTCATGTCAATTTCGGAAGCTTCAAATCATGGTAACATCAAAACTGTTTTCGAGCCCGTTCCCTAACCCTAGTCTCCTAATCTCCTACCCTATCATTGCATATAATTGGGCGGCAGCACTGGGTGCGACGGGCTTTTATACAGCGACGGGTGGACGAATGGGATGAGAGCAAGGGTGATAGCATGCTCATAGTACGTCTGACGTGTAATCTCCCCATTGGTCAGATATCCCACTGTGCCGCCTCGGGATTTGCTGCCCTCTTGACAAAACACCTCGTCTGTTGCTTCCCCCAGCTCCATGCCCCCTGCAACATGCCAATAACGAGGATGATAGTAATGAAACATGATGCAGGAGAGCAGGTATGGTTTCACAGGAGAGTTAATGCTTGTAAAGAATTCCCCAAAACTCATCGAATCTGCACCATAGCCCTGATGTCACCACAATCTCACACACCCTTCCCACATGGCACACACCCTTCCCACGTGGCACACACCCTTCCCACGTGGCACACACCCTTCCCACGTGGCACACACCCTTCCCACGTGGCACACACCCTTCCCATGTGGCACACTTCCCCACCATGCCATCCCCCTTCCATCCTTTCCCCCCATCCTCCCACTCCTACCATACTTTCCATATCCCCTTCTTCCTCTAAACCTTCCCACCTTCCCCTCCTTACTCCACCGTCCCAGTCACTCTTTTCCCTTCCCTTGCCCCCCAGTCCCCTCGTCCCCCCGGTCCTCCTTCCCCCTCTCCCCACCTTGCACCAGTTCCGCCAGTGGTGGCGGAAGCATGAACGCGGCCGTCCGCGCTCTCGTCTCCCCCGATATCGCGTTCCCTCCCCCTCCCCCTAAGCTTCCCCCGCCCCCTCTCCTCCCATTCACTCCCCCAAGCGCCGCTCCTCCTCTTCTCCCCGCCAACCCCTCCCCGCCCCCGCCCCCTGTCGCCTCCCCCACTCCCCTCCCCTGCTGCTGTCTCCCGTTCCCCGCCCCGGGAGCCGCGCCTCCGCCCTCCCCGCTTCCGCCCACCACCGCGCCGTCCGCTTCCGCCTCGTCGTCCGCGCGCGCGGACGTGGAGAGTACGACAGCCCATGCGAAGCACATGAGTTGCGGGGGATCGGAAAAGCGGCACCACTCCACTCCCCCCTCAATCGCAACCACGAAATCCGCGCCTTCCGCCGCGCTGCTGCGCGCCACGTGCAGCAGGCGGTTCCGCGCGCCCGCGAGAGTCTCCGCGTCGCCCATTGGCTGGTCCGAGACGCCCGAGTCGGCCGGGAAGCCTTCTAATTCGAACGACTCGTGGGGGAACAACCGCCGGAGCGCCTCCCCTGCGGCGTTAATCTTTACGGGGTTTCTAGAAGCCACGACCACGCGCCGCCTACTGTTCCACGCGCCATCGGAGCTATTCTCCCCGCACGTCGCGATCTCCGCGCGCCCGTCCCCGCGGCATGCTTGCGACTGCGCGCGGTTCCTTCCGCTCGGGGAGTGGTGCGGCTGCAGCGATACGCGTGCGGAGGATTGGTGATGCGCCGCGACGCGGGACGGGAGTATGGCCTCGTAGGTCATTAAGGGTGAGCGTGTGGGGTGACTGCAACGAGCTCGGACTAGATCGGCGTGAGTGTGACTACTACGAGCTCGCTCCGGCGGTGGCGGCGGGTCGATCAGGGTTGTGTCGTCAGAGTTGATTCGTTGTGGCACAACAGTGTGCGGTGAACTTCCATGGGATGAATCGAGTTGTCTGACTGGACACGTCTGGTGAGAAAAAAAAAAGGAAAATAATCGATCACGCGAAGCTACAAAAACGTCACCACTGCTCGTGCTTCAGAAATGGCTGCAGCTGGGGCTGTGTGCGACAAAGCCAAGCTGGTCAACTTACCGAGGGGGTACGTGCGACGGAGCATTTCTGACTGTTGGTTGGTTGGGGGCGATGAGAGCACAAGGCGTCGCAGAATGACAGAGATGTATCGCAGCACGGGTTGCGTTGCACAGAGAGTTGTTGCACAAAGACGGGCTGGGCGGTTTTGGCGCAAAGCCCCATGCGAGAGGTGATGCGAGGAGGTGACGCTACAGTGGTGAAAATTTACACCATAGAGTTCCATATATGTACGCATAGAAAAGAGTTGGACGAATAAATTTCACATCTTCATTTGTAAGGGGACATCAAGCAAAGATTCACATAGTAGCTCATCACTTCTATCGCATAACACACTTATGAAGCTCGCCTATGCATAGCCTGTAAAATCTCCTGCAAGTCGTCATCGTCATCATCTGACGTGGCACTCTCTTCCACAACCTTGTCTCTTCCCCTTCCCATACCAACCACCCCTCTTCCCTTACCACTCCTCACACCAGCTCCTCCTGAACCATCCATGAGCTTACTTCTCCCTTCACTCGCAGCGCAATTAACATCCTGAACCTGAGCATTGTCACCGAATAAATCTCCTTCCTCCATCCCCACTCCGCCCCCCACCCCAAGCGCATCCTCCTCCTCCTCATCATCATCAGAATCACCATCTTCTACCACTAATGCAGTCACCGTTGACGCTCCCGCTGCTTTTGCCACTGGAACCGCTGCTGCTGCTGATGAGACCGGCTTCTGACCCCCAACCAGAGCTGCCTTTGTTACCCCTCCTGCTGCCCCTCCTCCGTCGAATCGGCTATGCCTCACACCCCCCCTCCCTGCCGGCCCCCCTCCCCCGCCTGATTGTCTCGAATAACTCTCCACGCTTCTTGTTCTGGATAGCTTGTGCTCTTGCGCTTTAAGGTGCGCTACTGCTGCAATTGCCACACCACCAGGGGAACCACCACTACCACTAACACCAGCACCTGCACCAGCAGCAGCGGCAGCAGAAGAGCCGCAACCACTGAAGGTTCTACCAAGCCTCTTGGGGGGTTCGATATGAGCACTAGAAACATTCTCGGAGGGGCCAAATAAATCTTCATCCACTGCTGCGCCACCTGCTGCAGCAACACTAACCCCACCACTACCAACCCCAACCCCTGCACCAGCACCAGCAGGAGCAGCAGCTGCAACAGCGGCATCATCATCATCATCAGAATCGTCTGAATTGCCATTATCCGCCCCAAACAAATCCTCATCCACTGCCCCGCCCTCCCCCCCAGTTGATCCAAACAGATCCGAATCAACAACCATGCCTTCCCCTCCCCCCACCGCGACCCCCTCCTTGCAGCTACCCCCTCTCCTCCCCTCCTCCAGACATCGTTTTCCCACAGGCAGGGGGGGGCTGCCCCCACCCAACCCGTGCATGCCCTTGTCAGAGTGGCACCTAGCAGGCGCTCTTAGCGCATTGTGAAGCATCTCTGCTTGCCGACTGGAGAGAGAGTGGCAACCCATACCCCCCAAGCCTCCACCCAAACCACCACCCGAACCTCCTCCCTCTCCCGGACCTCCACTCACTCCCGGACCTAGTCCTAACCCAGAGAGAGTGGAGGCACAAGCGCCCGCGCCCGCGCCAGCGCCAGCAGCAGTGGGGTGGGCTCGGGCCGTGTCTCCTGATCTGCTCCTCAGTAATGGTGGCTTCACAGCTTCTTCTATCAGCATCGCTGCTTTCCCCACCGCTGCTACTGGGCTGCTGTGCCCGCCGTGCTTGCTTGCTACAGCCGCTACAGCCGCTGCTGCTGCAGCTGACATCCCCCCTTTCGCTGAGTGGCCCCCTACCCCTCCTGCGCCCAATGCTGCCCCCCCGCCACCCCCGCTTTTGTTACCATGCGCGGAAGGGACAGGGGGAGGCCCGCCCCTGCTTCTTCCCCCTATCCCCCCTGGTCCAGGCTTCGCTTCCCCCCCACTTCCGCCTGTGCCACTCCCCCCTGCTCCCGATCCCACCCCGCAGCCTCCCCCGCTTGCTCCGCTTCCACTGCCGCTATTCGCGCTACCTCCCACTAGCAATGCCCCCTCGTTTCGTCCTCGTGACTTTGACTTGGTTAGCTGCTTGTACTGTGAAAGAAACTCTTCGTCCGAATCACTACTTTCCCCGTTCTCCCCGCCTTCCTCCCCTGCACCGTGACCTGCCTTCGGCGGAGATCCGCCGCTCCCCCCCCCGCCTCCGCCTGCCACGGATTTCCCCCCCAACGGAGCAGCCAGCGGAGTGGGGGAGCCCGGGTCGTGCGGGGGCGCATCCACTCCGCCGCCGCCGCCGCCTGCAACCGGCGCAGCGAGCGGAGTGGGGGACCCCGGGTCATGCGGGGAAGCTTCGGTTACCGCCGCTGTGGAAATTGGAGTTGGCGTGCGCGCAACCGGCGCAGCAAGCGGAGTCGGGGATCCAGGATCGACCGCCTGCGCGGGCGCACCCGCGGAAGCACCTCCAGATGAACTCCGCGGAGCCGCAAGAGGCGCTGCTAGCGGAGTAGGCGAGCCGGGGTCATGCGGCGGAATCTCCGCAGACCCGCCTCCTGCTTCTAGCGTGGACGCCGTAGGCGCGGAAACTGGCGCACCGAGCGGAGCAGCGAGCGGAGTGGGGGAGGGGAGGTCAAAGTCAGAAGCCGGCTCCGCCAACCCAACACCGGTTTGCACGGTCAGTTGCTTCTTGGGACCACCCGAGGCGCCCCCCATCGGCCCTCCGTCCTTAGAATGAGAGTTATTGCTGCGTGTATTGGGATGCGCCTTGGAATGCGGAGCGTGAGTATGCGGCCTGGAGTGATTAGTGCTTGTAGCAGCTGCACCAGTAGTATTATGAGGAGGATTATGACCATGACTGTGAGCGCCGATTTCCTCCCCCATTCCCCGAGCCTGCTGCGTAGGTCTGACACCGTGCCTACCTCCAGGTCCGACGGCACGGGGCTCGGCGTGCATCGCGCCGCCTCGACCTCGACCCCTCCCGCGTGCTCCGCCGCAATCCTCGGTGGCGACGTGTCCATCGCGCCTCGAAGCTGGTTTCGGAGCCATGCCACCCGCGGTGCCGTCTCTAGGAGCTGCGACTCGTTGACCCCGCCGAGCCTGGCTATTGCCGGACGGGGTATCAGGATAAAGCTCTTCTTCCGCTGATGCTGTAGAAAAACGGTTATTCGAGGAGGAGATTGGAGTAGCTACTGGAGCATCGTCGTCAAGAATAGGATGTTGGTCGGTTTGAGAAAGATTCGCCGGTCGCCGGTATGGGGATGCTGAACTAGCAACCACGGGAGAGCCATTGGCAACGGCCGGTTTCCGGCAAGACGGGCTTGGGGAACCGTGATGTGCTGTTCTATTAGGAATCATGGCGACTAACGATGAATACTAGCTAGTGAACTGATAAATAATCAGTAGCTTTTAGTCCATCGCGGTTAGTGATTAAATACAAGAAATATCCAGTAGCGTCCAGCGATCGCTGTTCACTTCATTCACACCACGTGTACGATTTACTTCACGGTTTAGCAGCAGAGGTAGCAGTAGTTTGGCAACCCCAGAGCTCATGGGGTAATTACATTCTGGGTAACCAACATCGAGCCCGCTGACGTCAAAAGTCACCTACGTGGCTCGATGGTACCCGTCAGATCATGCGCACCCCTTGGTGGTACCCATCTTCCCTGCGTGGTACCCATCAACTGTGCGTGAATTCCCTGACTGGTACCGCAACATTTCAACCGAGCTGTACACCGTACAACAAGGGTTTCAATGCGATTTTCACTATATTATACCAACGTTTTCTGTCTGCAATTGAACATTAATACATTTGAACATTAATACCTTTGAACGTGCCTTACACTGGATAGAGTGCAACCTAGAAAAAATCAACTCCCCTTCTAAAATCCTCACGTTACCTCCGAACCTTTGTAAGCTCACATCACTGAGCGATAGGTAGCGTGAATCTTACGACCATGTTTCTCAGCGCGCAGTTGGTAATCTGAACAAAGTTCATAAGGTTGTATGCAAATAAATTGAGCATGTACCCCCACAGCTAAATAGAAAAGCATAAACAAATAATACGTACATTCGTTGGTTTCTGGAAACAAAACAATACCCATTAATGAAAATCAAATAACCTTAAGTCAATACATATATTACGTGTCAGTTGATCGTTTGTTACACGGATGTTAATTTTTGTGTTTCGGTTGATGCAATATATCTGTGGTGATTTAAATTATAGCACGTTATAATGTGGATGTTTATGAGCCTAAAGAAATCTACACAATAAATGTTTTCCTAAATTCAGCTTTTCTTCTACACTTTATTATAGGTAATGCGCTTGAAAATTTGACCCGATTATGTGGCACTTCGGGCTTCGGACTCTATTGAGCTTGTAAACGTGAAGACAATATAGTGAAAAAAGCATTGACACCCTTGTTGTACGGTGTACAGCTCGGTTGAAATGTTGCGGTACCAGTCAGGGAATTCGCGCACAGTTGATGGGTACCACGCAGGGAAGATGGGTACCACGGAGGGAAGATGGGTACCACCAAGGGGCGCGCATGATCTGACGGGTACCATCGAGCCACGTAGGTGACTTTTGACGTCAGCGGGCTCAATGTTGGTTACCCAGAATGTAATTACCCGAGCTCATGGGCCATGGCAGGTGAACGATGACGTGGCAAGCTATTCCCTTGGCCGGTACAGTTCCGCCCCGCAGCTCACCAAACCCAACCATCCCCTGATTAGATAAGGTTCTGACGGTAACAGACTTCCTGACGGACGAACAGACTGGTTTACAACAGTAAACTGACCGACGACACTGTACCATTCGGGACGACGAGAACTTCGTCTCGCACCCCCAGCCCCCTACCACCCGTTCGTCCGTACGCGTTCACCACACTACCCTACTGTCTCGCACTGCCCGTCGTTGCATCAGACGGAACGAGTTGGTTGGCTGGGAAATCTTGACGGCACTTTCCAGGTTACATCAGGCTCGGCTTGGGGGTTGGTTCGGTTAGTGAGCTTGGCGAATGGGTTTGGCGGTTTAATGGGATGCAAAGGAGGCTTACAAATTCAAACCAGTATATATTTTGGTTCATTGTTAGTTAATAATTAGCTCCCTGATTACATGCAAAGCATCTGAAAGTCAGGGGGGCAACATCAAGATCTGGATTATGTCCAAAGAAAATCTGAGGATATGAAGTCGATGTTGGAGCTGAAGCTCACCCTCCTCCTATGTGTTGGCTTCTTTGGCTCGGGTGTGCAGCTCGTGGGAGTAGAGGATTCTGTCATCCTCTCTGGAAAAATGTGGAGTGGAGAAAGCTCCGTGCTCCATGGTTGGCTGTTCCTGGAGTCCTTTATAAGGCCAGCAGTATCTAAGCTAGTTGTCCGCCACATTCTTTCTCCAAATCGCGCCTTGGTTCCTGCCTCACCACCATGCGCTACTTGTGAGCTCTGCTGTTGCTGTTGTTGCTGCTGGTGCTGCTGCTGTGGTTTGACTATACAGACCTCCCAACATGGCTGCTCCTTCAAATGGAGCCCGCACTGGTCTGTCCCTCTTGCCTTTACCCTCGCGGCCTGCTCATCCTGCCATGCCTCGTCCCGCATTGGTCCTTGTTCCTCCCGAACCACCACGTCTAGTCCCTGCCATTCCTTTGAATGGTGCTGCCGTACCTGCAGCCGTTGCGCCTGCTTCTCATCTTCCACCTCCTCGTCCTCCTGTGCAAGCCCCCGTCCCTTTCCTTTACCAACCCCACGGTCCCCACCCTTCTGCCCCTCATCTCCCAACTCGTTTCCTGCCAAACGCTGCTGACTCAGCCTCCTCTGCTACACCGCTCCATGCTGCTTCACCTGCTCCTGTTGCAGCAGGTGCTCCGTTTGTAGCTGCTTCAATTGCACCTGCAGCGCGTCCACCTGCGCCTGTAGCTCCTCATTTGACAAGTTTCGCCTCCTCCTGAGGTTCGGCTCCGTGCCCTGAATCCTCCTCCTCTGCTGCTGCGCCTGCTGCCGTTGCTGGGGAGGTGGCGAATCAACCATGCTTTCACCCTGCTGCTGTTGCTGCTGCGGCGACAACGGTTGTTGCTTCTGTTGCCGCCGCCACCACAGCCGCACATACTCTCCATGCGTCACCTCCAGCCCTGAACGATCCTCCCCCTCTCTCCGCTGCTGCTCCCTCTCACCCATCACCTTCCCCACTGGGCTACACTGCACCATACCCTCCCCAGTTCGTATTCCGTTGAAACCTGCAGACAGGAGCTGCTGCTGCCGCCTTTGCTTCTGCTGCTGCTGGTGCGTGATTCGTGGCGACGCGAGTGCTCCACTGGAGAGGGAGAAGGGCAGAGCAGCCATGGCGCCATCACTACTCGGCCAGTGGCGCTCGTTCCGACAGGGGTTTGAGTCCATGCGAGGCGACGGGAGTGGCGACGTGAGTGGCGACGGGCCATGATCTTTACTTGCGCTCGCGCTGGCGCTGCTGCTCGCGCTGACGCTGCTGCTGGCGCTGCTGATCGCGCTGACGCTGCTGCTCGCGCTGCTGCTCGCGCTGACGCTTCTGAAGCAGGTGTCTTCCCCTGCGAACTCCGCCCCGAGGTCCATTGAGCGCGAGGTCCTGCGCCGAGGGGCTTCCGCGCATGCCTCGTCCGCGGCGTCCGCGCGTTCCCCGTCGCTCATGACCTCCGCGTCCTCCGGGACGCTGCGGATGGGGAATTCGTCAGAGAATCTCCGCGCGTGCACACCGCGCGCTTCCGCTGCTCGCTGCGCTTTCCCCGTTGCGCTGAACGGCCCGGGTGCGCTGCTTCCTGGCAGCGCGCGACTGCCTCTCCCGCTGACCACGCTCGCGCGCGCGCAGAGCGCGCTGGTGGCGGCGGCGACGGCTGCGGCGGCGGCAGCGCGCTGCTTGGCGGCGACCCCGTAAATCTGCACGAACTCGTCATCGGAAGCGGAGGAATCGGAGGAGTCGGAGGAGTCGGACGAATAATCTTTCAGCGCGGAACGAGATTCCGCCAAGGCAGAACGAGGTCCCCCAGAGGCCGCGGCGGAGTCGGCCCTTTCCGCGTGCGACGTGGCGGTGAGTCGCGCGAGCTCTGTGCGACAAAACGCCATCGAGATCTCGTCGCTGGATAACTGTCGCCGCGACCGTATAAACTTCACCGTCGTGTCGCCGCCCGTGACCGCCGCGGCTGCCGGCCCGACACGCGTCTTGTCCATTGCCGCGCTTTGCGGAACGTTTTGGAAGCAACTCGCGGACCGGCTTCGCGGAAACGACGTTTTGGCAGGGAAACGCTCTGGCGCAGAATCCGCGGAATTCGCGGAACTTCCGGTAACTTGGCTGTGGCAGCCTTTGCTCGGCATGGATCGCCTTGATGCGGTTGCGGAATTCGCGCGTCCCGGAATGTCGTCATTAGGAATACTATCACCGCTTCGAGCAGTAGCAGCAGGAGCTGGAGAAGCGCCGGCGCGGGGTGATACGAGTGGCGGCCCGCCAGGACGCGGCTTGAGGCCCCCGCAATCCGCGGCGTTACCTGACGCAGCATTGCCGTCGCGAGACGCGCTTCTGAACATCCTTCCCCCTTGCGGCGGCGCAACGGCACCCAAAGGCCTTGGTGAGAGCGGGGCACGGGGAACGATTCCGCCTCGGTCGCGCTCCCCGCGCCGCACGACCACGACCTCTGTCCGCTGCAAAGGCGGGGGGTCGGAGCCTCCGCCGGAGCTTCCGCCAGGGCTTCCGC